TGGCAACATCCTTGGAGCAAGAAAAAGATAATTTTTCAAGTCTGAAATGACTTCTTCAGAACTGCTATGATTCTCCAGCATCTTCTGTTTTTATTTCATTTATACAGGACACTAGTGAGACCACATCTGGAGCATTTGAGAAAGGATTTAAATATGTTTGAAATAGTTGAGAAAAGCATAACCAGACTAATATTGGAATGTGTTCTGAGGAAGGGTCACTCAACCCAAAACATTAACACTGATTTCTCTCCAAAGATGCTGCCAGACCTGCTGAGCTTTCTCAGCAATTTCTGTTTTTGCTTGGAATAGGTGGCTTGGCTTATGACCAAAGGTTGTACAAAAGAGGTGATTTGATTGACAGAAAATCCTGATAGATCTTGACAGCATAGATGTGGAGAGGATAGTTCCTCTTACGGGAAAATCTTGAACTAGGAGATCACTGTTTAAAAATAAGAGGTCACCCATTTAAAACAAGAGATGAGGCAAAATATTTTCTCAGAATCATGAGTCATTGGAACTCCTCTCTTGAAAAGCAAGTTTGGAATATTTTGATGGCAGTGGTGGACTAATTCTTGGTAATCAAAGGCGTAAAACGTCATCGGGTTATGTAGGAATGTAGATTTGTGGGAGCAATCAGATGAATCACGGTCATATATAAATGATGGAGTGAGCTCGAGGGGCTGAATGGTCTACTCCTGTTCTTTGTTCGTATGTAAAATTCTTTTTCACTCAAAGTGTTAGCAATGAGGATTCAGGACTAGAAAAGAAAAGTTTCTTTGAACAGAAGATTATTGGCATATGTGGTACTTTACTGTATTGAATGGTTAAGACAGATACATTGCTTCTTTTAAAGTAAAAGTGGGTAAATGTTTCATGCAAAAATGCAGGACTATATAAAGACAGTACTGCAACAACATTATCTTCAGCAAGAGACAATGATCTTCTGGCACAAAAAAAGGAAATTGCAGGAGAAACTCAGCAGATCTGGTAATGACTCTGGATAGAAAGCAGAATCAACATTAGTAGTAACTATGTAGTAGTAACTATGAAATATGGTATGCATGCTGAAGACCATGGGTAAGGGGCAAGGGGGGGTAAAGGAGTTGGTAGATAGGTGGATTCAGAGCCCAGAGAGAGAAACATAGTTAGGCAAGCAAAGGAATGAATATTTGTATGTCAGGGAAGGAGAAAAGTTGATAACAATATAAGTAGGTGAAAAAGCTTGAAGGCTTCATGCCTTTATTGCAAATGCTCTGATCATTAAGTGGATAAACTAACTGCGCAGATAGATGTAAATGGGTATGATATAATTGAGATTACGGAGACATGGCTGCAGGATGACCAAGGATGGGAACTAAATGTGCCGGGGTATTCAATATTTAGGAAGGTCAGGCAAAAAGGAAAAGGTAGTGGAGTGGCATTGTTGGTTAAAGAAAAAAATAACATAATAATGAGAAAGGACATTAGCTCTGACAATGTGGATTCTGTATGGGTAGAGTTGAGTAATACCAAGGGGAAAAACACATTGGTGGGTATCATATATAGACCCCAAACTGCAGTGGTGATGTCGAGAATGGCATTCAACAGAAAATTAGAGATGCATGTGATAAGGGAATATTGGTGATCATGGTTAATTTTAATCTGCACACAGATTGAGCAAATCAAATTAGCCACAATGCTGTAGAGGAGGAATTCCAGGATGGTTTTCTTGGCCAATATGTGAAGGTACCAACTAGAAAGCAGGCCATCTTAGACTGGGTGCTGTGTGATGAGAAGAGAATCATTGCCAATCCAGCTGTGCGAAACCCCTTGGGGAAGAGCGACCATAACATGATAGAAATTTTTTTATCAAGATGGAAAGTGAGGTAGTTGATTTGGAGACTAGGGTACTGAATCTTAATGAAGGAAACTATGAAGATATGAGGTATGAGTTGGACTTAATAGATTGGGGAGAGTTACTTAAAGGGATGAAAGGGGATAGGCAATGGCAACCATTCAAGGAAGTGGAGCACTGCCACAGGCTCAAGACAGAAATGTTGATCAGGGATCATGGTCATATGTTTAAGTGATGAAAGCAAAAATACTGCAGATGCTAGAAATTGGGGAAAAATGAAAACAATGTTGAAGAAATTCAACAGTTCTGGCAGCATATGTGGAGAGAGAATTGTTTCAAGTTCAGCGTGACTTCCTCTGAACTGAAAGATGTTGGATTTTTTTTTACATTTACAGAGGAGGAGGAGGCCTAGTACAAAAGACAGAGATTGGTAGTAGTGGGGAAAGAAAAAAAATGCAAATTGATGTAAAGTGTGAAAGGGAGCGAATTGGATTTCACAAAGTAAAGAAGATACAAACAAGATAAGTTTGTGGTGGGAGGCGGTTAGGATATAAGAAAAACGGACACTGAAGTTATTTAGTTCAGCATTGAGAGCTTGAGGCTCTAACGTGTCTAAGTAGAAAACGAGGAGGTGCTTACATTGTGCTTCAATGGAAAACTGCAGCAGGCCCGGGCAGAGGTTAGCATGAATTCAAAATGGTTTGTTGAAATGGCAAGCAATTGGGAGGTCAGCGTCATTTCTATAGACAGACTGTGTGTTCTTTGCAATGGTTGCTTAGTCTGTGTTTGAACTCACCAATGTAAAGAAGGGCATACTGTGAGCAGAAAAGTAGAGAACTTAATTGAAAGAAGTCATAGTTAAACTGTTTCACTGAAAGGTATGTTTAGGGCCTTGGACAGGGAGGGAGGAAGTGAATCGGCAATTGCATGGGAAGGTGCCGAGGGAGAATGAGGAAATGTTAGGAATGATGGAGGAGTGGACCAGGGTGTCATCAAGAGAACAGTCCGTACGGAATGCTGACCATGAAGGGGAAGTGGTTTTTGGTGGTGTCTTCCTGCTGGAGGTGGCAGAAATGGTGGAGTACGATCCTTTGAATGCAGAGATTGCTGGGATGAGAAGTAAGTCAAGGGGAGTTCTGTCATTGTTCTGGGAAGGAGTGGAGAAGAAGTGTGGGTGATGAGTCTGACAAGGCTGAAGGCACTTTTACAACAATGGGGAGAATCTCAGTTGTAGAAAAATTATGTCAGAGGCAGCCCAAAGAGGAGGTGGCATTATCAGAACAGACACAATGGAGACAGAATGGAATAGAATCCTTGCAGAAAACTGCGAGGTGTAACCAAGATGATTACTGGTACAGTGACAGTAAAACTACACTACAGCCTCCCTCTCTGAACAATTTCAGCTACATCTGTGTAAGGAAGAAACGTAATAATGTTCATGTTCTAAAATGGCAGGACAGGCACCAAATCAGCAATGCATGCTGAGGTGCACTGTACGTACAAACCAGGCACATCATTACCCTTAAAAATGTGGTAATCAGCACAACTGGACTAGAAATCATCACGGAACAGACCTTGTACCATTGTTCTCATTACCTGAGCACTAATACCACAAAGTGAAATTTCACAGCCAAGCTGCTTATAGAAATTTATCAAACCATTTGCACAAAAAAAATTGGGAGGAAGTTTAAAGCTTAATCACCGAATAAGCTAAATGTTTAAAATATTTAAAGCAAAGTTATGGTTCAAATGGTAGCATTCTTGCAACGGTCAAGGTGTTCATGTCCCATGTGAGGAATTTGAGGCTAAAATTCTAAGCTGTCACTCGATAATGAGAGAGTGCCTGCACTGCCGGTTGCACACTTTTAGCACCCCAACCACCCCCACCTCCAGGATGTAGCTGCCTCGAGAGATTGTTGTGCCTGGAAGACTGGCTTCTAGATTGGGAATCTGCTGGGAAGGGAGAAGGAAATTGTTGAGACACAACTCTACAGCATTCAGAGTAACCCAGAAATCTTGGTTGCCCTGGTGTAATAGGAAGAGTAAACAGAAATTAATAGTTAAATAAACATGTCACACAGCTGAACAAGCTGACAATGGAAGTGTGAATATTGCAATCGAATTATTTAACATTGGAATCAAGCTAGCTACAGTAAGCAGAATAGGAAGATAATCACCCTAACACACACAAAAGGACATCATGATTGGAATATTTGCAAATGTTAGAACCATGATAATCTAGTGAAGGGCTATAGTAATAGATGGGTCAGGGGAAACCCCTCTGCAACACAATGAGAAGAGGAACCCCATCAATACTGCAGAGTCAAAAGGATCATTTAACATGGGGACAAGACGACTGGCCTATCTAGGGGTGGATGGGGTGCTGTCTGAAATACAAAGGATACCACGACTGTGGAATGCACAGTGTCAGGGACTCCATGAGGAGGACAAAGAGACCCAGCACTGAGGAATGCACAGCTTGAGAGGAGTGTATAGCCTTTCTAGGCATTAACTAAAAACCTGACTGGGTTGCGTTAATCCCTGTAATCATCAAACATATCCTGTAACCTTATGATCATGACAGGCCTATGCAACCAATGAGACTGAGATGTACATGTGTGACTTAAATTACTATAAGGAAAGCAGTCTCTCAGAATGCTGTTTCCCCTAGGTACATTTGTAGAATAAACCTGTTGTCTTGATTGAAACAGCAATTGCTTCTGTTTGCATTTTCACTTCACCTGACAAAAGGGCTATGCTCCAAAAGCTTGTGCTTTCAAATAAACCTATTGGACCTCGACCTGGTGTCGTGTGACTTCTGACTTTGCACTGTAGAATGCATCATCACCCCAATCAAAATCAAGATCAATTAGTTTTTTGATGGTTCTCTGGTAGAAGGGCTCAATGTTAAAATGATACCACGCAGTTCGAACCTGTCAAAATTTCATCTACTTTTACCTGTTGTGACCTAATCTGTGGAAAAAAAAAGTACCAAATTTGTTTTTACCCACATGATATAAAACAGAAATCGTGCTAAAAATTCAATGGATAACATTTTTACAATGTATCAACAATCATGCTATTCACTGGCTGGATGCTCATGCAGTCATGAATTTGGAAGGATATTGTCATATTGGGTCTGTCAATTAAACAATTACAAGCAGTCCTTGATGTGTGAACTTTATTAAGACTGTATCATTTATTTATTCCCAATGAATTTAGTATATGCAAGTTTCAACTTGTACATTCACATCAGGAAAATAACCAACCTCTGAAATTATCCATGAACTTTAACATGCAAAGAGAAAGATGACTAGGTTTAATCTGCTAATTGGAAAGTGAGAAGACAGACACGCAGGCAGCAGCAATTTTTCTCTCCAAATTACAAAATTATCTAAAATATAAAAGCAACACTTCAACTAACAATAAATGCATTCTGAGTATTCAAATTCAGCATCTGGCACAAATTTTGATATAAATCAATAACCTTCTTAGAATATCCACTCCTCAAGAATGGCAATGTTTTCAAGGGAACGTATGCCCACATGGTTGAATTAGTGTTTGTATGGGACATTTTGGATAACAAAGCTGTTATTTTAAAAAAAGATAATTACAATCATGAGCATTAAAGAACGGGTTGACATTTATGGTCTAAAAGTAAACAACAATGATACATTCCAGGCTAAGGCAAAAGGTACTGTGATGAAGATAGAGATTTTTGGTCATAATGTTACACCATAGAAATAAAAGATAGCTTGCAATTAAGATTATTTTGGTTAGCTATATAACGAACAAAATTTTAAAAATCATATAATTTTAAACAGTAGCAATTTTTATGATGTTGGCTCAAAGCTTTTGAGTTGATTCCATGATCAAAACTTCTGTACTCTGAAATTATGATCATCTTCTCTCATAGTTTTGCATGATCTTTGAGGATCATTTCAAGTTTCTGGCTAAGCATGATGTTCCCTGTAACTTTCAGCTTGCCTGCAAAGAAAGCCTGTAAACAAACAAAATAAAGATTCAAGCATAATCCAAATCATGCAAAATAGAAAATGAATATCTCTTCTAATACCAGAAAAGTAACATAGTTTGATCTCCCCATTTTAATCTTCAATTTTGGCTGTTTCTCAGTTGTAAAAATTGTTGAATCCATAATTCTAGGTCTCTAACTTCTGCACTGTGTTCTCCTGGGGCTAGTGAAAGGGGACACAGCCACTTCATTTCCTGGGGTCTCTGCCAGTCTCACTTACTGGAGGTTGCGATGTGACGAGGATTTGTCAAGCTCTCAAACAGACAAGTTATTTTTCCTCAATCCAGTTTGAGACCTTAGGACTGTTGATATTCACCATACGTTTGGGTGAAAGCTACTTAATCAGAGCCTAATTCTGTCTATAACAATGACCTGAAGCCTCAGACGAGGAGTGACTCAAGATTCAAAACCCGTAAGGTGAAACATTCTACAAGCCCATTCTGTTTGACAGCTGGCAGTTGCAGTGGTGAAGATTGGTGGGGAACCAGTAATGATGAATATAGGGGATAACAAGATGTAGAGCTGGATGAACACAGCAGGCCAAGCAGCATCAGAGGAGCAGGAAGGCTGACGTTTCGGGCCTAGACCCTTCTTTAGAAATATATGTCATTTTACAGTTTCAGCCTAATTAACATTTAATAATAATTTGATTAAATATACAAATGACTCCAATTAGTTCAAAAAAGTAAGATAGGTGAAATGAATGATATCCTTGTCCTTTAAAAATGATTTATAGGCTGAACACAATCTCTAGTTCTAGTAAACAGAATTACATTAATAATTTGGGTAACTCCTCTCAACCTTGCTTTTCATCTGGATCTCGTGCCAGTCGTTACCAACTTCACTCAGGAAAAAGCATCTATGTCTGATTTCCAAAAATCTCCCATATGATTGGAAATTCACATCTCTTCACAATCACTGGTGAATAAAACCGAATACTTTACTGAAAGTTGTAGGTGATCACATTAGGATAGTTTTAATTAATAATTTCAACCAGGATTAGAAATTTAACTGTTTGACAAGCAAATACCAGTTCATTTGAATATATGATACTGTAATTTGATCATGGAATAGGCAGCATGAAGCTAACACAGGAGTCTGAATGGAGTCAGCACACATGCTATGACTGTCACAGCAACATAGGCTGACATTCCAATGCAATAATGAAGTACACTGTAGAATTCCCATCCTTCAGATGAAATGGAAAACCAAGAATTACTACACCTGTAATGGTGATTTAGGTAGAAGTTAAAAGGCAACATTATTCAAAGAGCAGGAAGTTCTCAAAGTGATTCCAAACATGTTTCACTACTGTGAGATGCTTCTAGACATCCAAAGAATTTTATCTGCATATTCGATTGCTATCTTAATTACCTCAAGATCAGTCAACTATCTTTGTAGACTCTACTTAATTCTATAGTTGAAATTTGCCTGATTTCCTCTCTCAAGCATCTTTTGGAGTTTTCTGTGCATCAGCAAAAATATTGTACCATCATACCTTAGGATGATCACCAAATTTGCATCTATCGTGATTTGTAGTTTCTGTTCCTTATTGCTAATTACTCATACTTGTTTGAAAATGAAATAGGGCACATAGAGAAAACAATTCTTGCAAATGCTGAAGATATGTCAAAAAAGTGCTGGAGAAATTCAGCAGGTATGACAGTACCTGCAAAACAGAAACAGTTAACGTTTCAAGTCTAATATGATGCTTCTCTGGAACTTGAAATATTAGCTCTGTTTCTTTTCCAACAGATGCCGCTAGTTTCTCCAGCTCTTTGCTTTTCATTCCGATTTCTAGCATATTCAAACATTCAATTATCTTGAGAATTCTGAAGGCAGAAAATAGCAAATAAAAAATGACCAGCCTACATCAATCAAAATCTTTTAAAATTTTTATACCCAGTTTTGACTTGGTGATTTGAGTATGTACAATGCATTAATCTTTAGATACTAATTTATTTCACATATAAAGATGACCTGAAAATGCAGAACTTGCTCATGGACATTTCCAGGCTGCTGCTTCCAGTGATGCAAAGAATAAAATGTGAAACATACATTTGAAATGTATTTTCAAAGTACTTTCTTCAAGTTTTGAAAGGTTTGTCCATGTTGACTATGAAACAGTGAATGCTTTAATAAGGTTCACTGACATATCCTCCATCCAGCCCTACCAAAAGAAGTTGATAAATATCTTCAAGGAATTTATGAAATCTAAACATTCAATGCATATATATATAATTTAGTTGACTGGATGGCTCCACAAACTTTGCCAGAAGTTTTTTTTTTCTATTGCTATTGTTATTGCAATAAATTGTAAATACTTCAGCAATGACATTAATCTTACTGATCAGTGAAATGGGTATCTAGTGTTCTTTCTGATTGAGGTAGTGCAAAAAATAATAATGAAACTTGGAAACAGAGTTGCAAATGGTCCATTTCAAAAATACAGAAACGGCCTTTTCAAGTAAGCTGACCTTGGATGTTGGTGGTTTTTCTTTTATTTATTCCTCCATGGGATGTGGTATCACTTACTGACCATCATTTGTAGGCCATCCCCAACAGTTCTTGAACTAAGTAGCTTGCTAGCCCACTTCAGAACAAAGTAAAAAGTGAACGACATCTCTGAATCTGGAATTGTATTTAGCCCAAACAGGTAAGGATATCAGATTTTCTTGCCTAAAAGACATTAGCAAGCCAGGTGAGTTGAGACTAGAAGATGGTCTCCAGTGAAATTATTCAAGGATTCTTCCAGTAGGATAGAAGGCTGTATATTGCAGGGGCTGTCAATCAGCTACTTTAATTCAGCTCAAGCAAGAAAAGCTTTTAAATTCTTTCATACAGGAGGCTCCAGCCTATTTGTTTCCTATCTTTAAACAGTAAGCTTGAAAAATCTTCAGAATTTCCACTGCAACAGACCTTCAAGATTTACATGTCAACTTCCCTCCTGCAATTTGGATAAAATTACATTGTCTTACACATTGGGGGAAAAGGGAAAAATCAAAATTGTGCGTTGGTATAAGGTTTAGTTACCTTTTGGGGATTAAGTTTCCCTGATACTACTTGAATGAAATCTTCATCAGAGACTGTAAAGACAGTGTCAGCCCGATGCTGTGCTGCTCCCTTGTACAGTTCTCCAGAACCATTCTTCAAGTCAATAGCTAAAGAACATACAAAATCTATTAAAACAAACTCTGTTTAACAATGACAACTATGCTTTCGTGTGTCATTTTATGGAAGAATAGCAAATACAAATTAAATACACAGAATTACAAATTGGTAAATTGTTATAAATGAAAACTCAGTGGTGCCACAGTGAGAGACTTAATAAGGTGTGTAAAAGCATACCATAGTACCTATTTTCATGTCTGCTAAATATAAGGGACAAGATAGTTCAATTCTTTTTGTAAATTGTTAGATTACCTATTGCAGATATGATCTCTATTCTGAGAATAAAATGTTCAAATCCCACACACATTAAGAATATGGTCATCACCTCACTGCAGTTTTTACTTGGTGAATGTAATCTTGTGATGTGGGCATCTGGCTGGCAAGGTTGCCCATCCCTAATTATCCTTCAGAACCTGTGATAAAACATTTTTTGAGCACAGCAGTCCACCTGGTATCGGTATTCCTAGTGTTGTTATGCAGAGAGTTCCAGAGTTTTGATTCAATGATAGTGAAGAAGCAATAATATAGTTTATTGCTTCTTATGCAAGTTAGATTGCATCCAGCTTGGAAGAGAACTTGCAAGTGGTATTATTCTGATGCATCTGCTGCCCTTGCCTACGTAGGTTTCAGAAGTCCTACAGAAGGAGACTTGGTGAGTTCCTGCAGTGTAATTTATAGATGTGCTGCTTACATCTGGGGTGGAGGAAGTGAATGTTTAAAGTGCTGGATGAGGTACAAATGAGGTTAGGTTCAAACTGTGTCAAGCTTCTTGAATGTAGTTGTAGCTACACTCATCCAACATAATGGGCAGCATTCTCTTATATTCCTGACTTGTGCCTTCTAGATGGTGGACAGGCTTTGGGGAGTCAGAAGGTCAGTTTCTAAATGCAGGATTCCTAGCCTCTGACCTGCTCTTGCACCCACAGTATTATGAGGCTGGTCCAGTTTAGTTTCTGGTCAATGGTAACTCTAGCATATTGAAGGTGGGAAGGCAGAAAAGGAAATTCTCCCTGGTACGTGTACAAAAGTATTGTTGGGATTAAATTTTATCTTGTGTTTTGAAACCTTTAAATTTGTATTATATGCAAACGGTTTGGTTTATTCCATTTTATCTTCGTTTCACTTGTGTAATACACTTGTTTTATCGTTGAATCCAAATTTACATCTTTACAAGCTTGTGTTTCAGTGGAGTCCACTTTGACAATAGAATCCCTACAGTGCCAAAATAGACCATTTGGCCCATCGAGTCTGCACAAACCCTCTAAGAAGCACCCGCCTAGACCCACCCCCCAATCTTATCCCCACAATCCCCGCATTTACCATGACTAATCCACCTAGCCTGCACATCCCTGGACATGATGAGGCAATTTGACACAGCTGATCCACCTAGCCTCCACATCTTTGGACTATGGGTGGAAACCAAGCACCCAACAGAAATCCACACAGGCACAGGGAGAACATGTAAACTCGACACAGACAGTCACCCAAGGATGGAATCGAACCCGGGTCCCTGGCGCTATGAGGCACAGGGCTAACCACTGCCTCCATACGGCCTGACCAAATAAAAAATGTGATCAAACCAATTTACAGAGATAACAAGGTGTAGAGCTGGATGAACACAGCAGGCCAAGCAGCATCAGAGGAGCAGGAAAGCTGACATTTTGGATTGAGACCCTTCTTCAGAAACCAATTTTCAGACTGGGATTTGATTTATCCAGTAACATCATCAGCTGGGAACATTAAATATCAAGGTTGACTCACACTTCCAGACATGAATTCAACTGCTTTGCCGGTGTTGGATCAGCAACTAAGCAGGCCTGGCAGAATCCAACTGAGGCTCAGTGTGGTTAATCCTGTGTAAGTGCTGCTTGATAGCACTGTCAACAAACTCCTCCATCACATGTTGTTGACAAAGCATAAACTAATTGGGCGCTAATCAGCAGGATCGGATTAACCCTGCTTTTTGTGGATAGGACAGATCTAGGCATTTTTTTTGTATTACTGGGTAGATGCCAGTGTTGTAGCTTTGCTGGAAGCTTAGCTAGGGACACAGGTGGTTCAGGAGCATAGGACTTCAGTACTGCTGTTGGAATACTATTAGGACCCAAAGCTTTTACAGCATCCAGTGTCTTCAGCTGTTTTTTATAAGGCAAGGAGTGAATCAAATCTGGTGAAGATTAGCATCTGCGATGATAAAAATTTTAAGAGGAGCCAAGATGGATCATCCACTCAGCACTTTATACATAAATACTTTACAGTGATGTGCTGGACATCCCTTTCATTGAGGATGGGGATATTTGTGGAGCCTCCTCCTCCTACTAGGTTTTTAATTGCCCCCATCATTCATGACTGGATGTGGCAAGACTACAGAGCAAAGAAGGAACTCTGTGCCAATCTAAGGATCTTAGTTTATAATATAATTTAGAAGTTCAGGTAAAGATCTTTCAGTGTTATAATAAAAACAAAATGCAGGAGAAACTCAGTAGGTCTGGCAGCATCAAACTGAGTAAAGAGATGTCTCCTTGTTGGATTTATTAGTAATTATTTATGGATCTAATTTTGAATTCTTTACTAATAGAAATTCTCTCTATATTTATCTTGTCAAGCCCACTTAAAAATTTACAGACCTCTAAATCTTCTCTTCTCTGAAGAAAAAAGCTTCAACCTGTTCAATCATTCTAGTAGCCATATTTTCTCAGTTCTGGTTTTAATCCTTCTAATTTTTTTTTTGTAGGTCCTCTCCAGTTTTTGTGCCCTTTTTAAAGCATGGAGACCAGAACTGTGCAGGTCCTCTAGGCACAGCCTGAATAATGTGGTATACAAGTTTAGCATCCTTTTAGGATGAGTCAATATTAAAGCTTAGTCAGTATTTTTAAATGTTTTGCTGATCTGTAATACTGCATTTAATGATTTATTAATTTGTATGCTTCGATTTTTTGTTCTTCTAAACCATTCTGTTTTCTGTTCATTTGCTAAGGTTTAGGGGGCGTTTCGACTTTTCTTATCAAATTGTACCATCTCATATTTAATGACTTTAAAAATAATTAAAATTAAAATAATAATGTCCAAGTTTTCTAATACCTTCTAGTATCATGATGGATTTTTTTCTTTCTTATTTACAGTTTGGTATCATTTACTAATTTTGATTGCGTTATCTTCCCCCCACATCCAAATACTAATTCAGATTATAATTGAATTTATAATTGACATTTATGGAATATTGCTTTTTTACTCCTCCAAACTTACCAACTACAATCAACTCTTCTCTTGGCCTTTTTTTTCCATTCAATTTGTTAGCCATTCATTTATTTATCTCAATCATAACTTTAGTCATGTACCTTCCACACGGTGGTCCTGTTTATTGTCCTTTTAAAATCCAAGTATGTAACATTTACTACGTAATCCCAGTCTACTCTATTCTTCACTTCAAAAAAATTCTGTTATAATAGGCAAAGCTTTTTAGAATCCATACTGAATCTCTTTTAATATATTTTTGCCTCTAGAAGTTCTTCCCTCTTTCAATCAAGCATAGAAGGGGATAGATACTGAAGTTATTAGATGGGCCCTTTTATTGTTAGATGATCTAGGAACAACAGCATCGTGAACTGCAGTAGTTCAAGGCAGCTCTCACTTCTACTTTCTTGAGGGCAACCACAGATAGGCAATAAATGTTGGCCCAGCCAACAATGCCATAAGTGGATTAAAAAGCATTAAAAAGCCATATTGGTGATCACTACAAAGAGGCCTTTATCATTCTGATCCATTAAGATACCCAACATACCAGTAAAAGAATGCATATCTTTCTTACAAAAATACAGAGAAGCAGCTATATAAGATCAAAACTACATGTTTGCTGCCTGGAGAGATGTAAGGCAGAATAAAAATAATCTGACCTTTTTTTTAATTTAGATAGACCATTTTAAATTTAGAAAAGTACTACAATTCCAGAAACAAGTCATACTTTTTAACTTTAGAGAAAATATTATCTGTTAAATTAAAAAAAAAGGCTTTAAATGTAAAAGGGTATTTCAGTGTCCCAAATGCACTAAACATGGCTAGACACATCAGGGCAGATTAGGTAAACCTGAATTTATGATGTATTATTTCTGCTGTGGATAAATAAAAATTTAACTCATGCTGAACCTGCCAACTTCACTGTCCCCAGGGTCAAGAATATTAACTGAAGATATTTGGGCTCCACTTTTCATATAGGACACTAATGAGACAAAGGATTCAAATTATATCTACAGCTGTCAATTTCCACTGTGTATTGGTGCCACAGTGAAGGAAAAAGCAACTGAACGTGCATTGCAAGTATCACTGCATCTGAACAGCACACTTAGTAGCAGAAGATGTACAGCCAGGAAGTAACAATGAGAATAACGAATACTCTGCAAGTCCTAAAATTAATAAAATTGTAGCACCGGCTACCAAACCTGAAGGAAAACATATCAAAACAGTTAGTGCGGTAGCTACACTGTACAACTGTAACTCAAACTCTTTGCATTAGCAAAAGGCTTTTTGTATCTAAGGATTTTTGCTTTTGTCTCTGTGCAGAGTAGTAATTGTGCTGTTTAAAAAAATATAAGTAGCAATTAAATCAAATAAAAAGGTTTGCAATGTCAGAGAATAAGAATTAGTTTAGCTCAAATTTTACTAAAATAACTCTTTCTACCTGGTTGCAAATGGACTTGAGGACCATTTTTTAAATGCATATATTAGGGAGGCTAATATTGTTAAGTTTAATTAAGTTTTTTTCATTGCTATGAGTCTGTTATAAGTATCAAGTTTGTAATTCTTCAATTAGGAAAATAATTTCCAAACTATTACCTCTGTGGTTTAATAATATTGTGATTGTAGCAGCACATATGCCAGAAATTTTACAAAATGGCTGTGGGTCATCTTCAAACCAACTTTGTATTCTTCCATTTTGTAGAACAAATTAGACTGCAGCCCTATCTCGAATGCAAATTTGCACAGTTCATATTAG